ACACATTTACCTAGGCTAAACCATTCCCTCTAATAACTCTCGGGAAGGTAAAAGACCATTTTACCCCTTACTTGGCTCAATTACACTAAAGTTGACCAAACCCTAAAAGTCAACAAAAGTCAACCCTCCGGGTTACACTGCGCGTACCAAACGAGTACGTTGGGCGTACCCGTAACCTTCACAGAATCGGGGTACGCGGCCCCTTATGTTGCGCGTACTGGGATTACGCCCAACGTAATACCCAGTTTCCTTATCCATCTCATTCAGGTCTTAATCGGTTAAGACTTGCATCCAAAATTCAGATCTGACTCCTCTAATGTGACTTAATCCATAAAGTTGAAACCTTTAAGCCTTTGCATGGCTGTAAAGGTCACTTTGTGCTCAAAACACCTTTCCTCTTTCCATAATGAGACTATAACTCATGCATGACACAAGATCCACATCCAAGACTGGATTTTTATGAATCCTCAACACAATATACACTAGAAAAGGTCAGATCTAAGCTCATGGAGACTCTTTGCACACAAAGTCTCCAACTTTGAACCAAAAACCCTAGAAGGAAAGCTTTGAGCTTTTTACCTTAGAAGGGATCTCCAACCACTGTAGAACTCGGATCTACACTTGTTCTTCAACTTCTAGCTCCAACAATGGCTCCTTCTTCTCCTTCTTAACCTTGAAAAGATAACTTCAAGCTCAAAAGACACACACAAGCTAAAGCACGAATCTCAGCTCTCTAAGGACTCACTCAAGGGGATATGGTGGCTAGGGCAAAGGACTACATGTTCCTTTTACATAACACATAAGACCCTCCAGTCCACATAAATACCACTCTAGGTAACGTATAGTGAGAAGACTCACCTCGTGTAGCTCGGTAACTCGTAAATCTCAGAAATCTCGGACTCCGTGGGATAAGATCTAGCCTCCGCCTAATCATATGAAATAACACTCAACATCAACACATTTCCCTAGGCTAAACCATTCCCTCTAATCACTCTCAGGAAGGTAAAAGATCATTTTACCCCTTACTTGGCTCAATTACACTAAAGTTGACCAAACCCTAAAAGTCAACAAAAGTCAACCCTCCGGGTTACGCTGCGCGTACCAAACGTGTACGTTGGGCGTACCCGGAGCCTTCACATAATCGGGGTACGCGGCCCCTTACGCCGCGCGTACTGGGATTACGCCCAGCGTAATACCCAGTTTCCTTATCCATCTCATTCAGGTCTTAATCGGTTAAGACTTGCATCCAGAATTTAGATCTGACTCCTCTAATGTGACTTAATCCATAAAGTTGAAACCTTTAAGCCTTTGCATGGCTGTAAAGGTCACTTTGTGCTCAAAACACCTTTCCTCTTTCCATAATGAGACTATAACTCATGCATGACACAAGATCCACATCCAAGACTAGATTTTTATGAATCCTCAACACAATATACACTATAAAAGGTCATATCTAAGCTCATGGAGACTCTTTGCACACAAAGTCTCCAACTTTGAACCAAAAACCCTAGAAATGGTCCAAAAAGCAAAAGTTATGAAGAACAAGAAAAGCTTTGAGCTTTTTACCTCAGAAGAGATCTCCAACCACTTTAGAACTTGGATCTACACTTGTTCTTCAACTTCTAGCTCCAACAATGGCTCCTTCTTCTCCTTCTTCACCTTGAAAAGATAACTTCAAGCTCAAAACACACACACAAGCTAAAGCACGGATCTCAACTCTCTAAGGACTCACTCAAGGGGATATGGTGGCTAGGGCAAAGGACTACATGTTCCTTTTATAGTGCAAAAGCCAAAAATTAGGGTTTGCATCTGGGCTCGCTACACCCAGCGTAACCCCTGGGTACGCCTAGCATACCCGGGCGAGTCCACATTCAATTTAAGCGCGTGAGTACGCGCGGCGTACACCTCAGTATGCCTAGCGTACTCACTAATCCACCATACAACTTTAAGGGACTAATTTGCCAACTCTCCAAAATAAAAGGGTCATAAAGCTTACCTGGATTTCGGGCTGTTACAAGTTAAGAAGAGAGATTCGACGAGTTGACGCCTCAAACCGTCGAGTTGACGCCTCAAATCGTCGAGTAAGGTCGCGACTGATGACTCGGATTAATGAATGGACGCGACGAGTCGGTGAGGCGACTTGACGAGTCCGCACTGTTGGCAGAAACCCTAAATCTTTGGGCTCGAGCCATATTTAAAGGCAATTATGGCCTTCAATTGCGACTACCTTTCCCATAAGTGAGAACCCTTGCGAGCTTGAGTGTGTAGAGTGAGAGAAAGAGCTATCTTGAGCTTTTTGGTGTAATCTTGCAAGAAAGGAGAAGAGTTCCAGCAAGAGGGACCAAGGAAGGTTATTGTTTTGAGTTATTCAAGCAAGGAGCTTCATTCTGAGGTACAAAAATGAACCCTTTTCCTTCCCTATTATGTAGATTCCATTTTGGGGTTAGGGCTTGAATCACTTCATCTTTGGGGTTTTGAATGCGTCAAACCCCTCTTGCAAGTTTGTGTTATAGATCTAGACCCTTCTAGGTCTAGAGAGCCGAGAATATGAAGCTTTATTATAGTAAACCTTGGGGTTTGATGTTCGGAATCTGGACCCTTCTAGGTCCAGAGAGCCAAGAATATGAAGTTTTAGAAAAGTAAACCTTGGGGTTTGAATTTAGGAAGCATTTATGGGATTTTTATGGTATATATAGTTACTTTCATCTTACACATAGATATGAAGTATTTTATATAAATTACGTGCTATGTGTGCATATTATTTGAATATTTGTTGTCTATGTTGGATGAACGATTTTATACATGTTTTAAAAGATTTAAACGGTATATTTATTTTATATCCACAAATATGTTGCGGATGAAACATTGGTAGATGAAATAGTTGGTGTGTGATGAAATAAAATGATGAGAGATAGGTGATGATAGAAAGGTGATGATAATTAGGTAAATAGATGATGATGATGAATAGGTGATGTAGGATGAAAGGAGATACCATAACCTTAATCGGCAATGTGGCGATGTAGTCATCTACCAGAGTATAGATGGCGACCACGGACTATTCTAGACAACCCAGTGGAAACACCAGCATGCCCATAACCTGTAGGTGATAAATTACGAGTTCAGGCGATGTTGTAACTACGTATTCATGCGATGATACTCTAACCCGTTACTATGAATTACGAGTTCAGACGATGTTGTAACTATGTATTCATGGGATGTCACAAATTCCGCATGCCAAACCAATAGTTATAATTTACATCAGTGAGAATGGTTCATTTTTTTGTAAAACCAAAATCAGATTGAAAATTTTGATTTTTTATTTTGGAAAATGTCAAACCATTGGTTTTTTATTTCGGTTTCGGTTTTTTGTTTTTTTTAAAATATATTTTCAGGGTTTTGTTTTTTTTTTTTTTTATTATAGATTTCTTCATCAACAAATGTTGCTACAATTTAACAAAAATAAATAATTTGCTAAAACATAATACAAAAGGAAGTTTATTCACATTTAGTCATTGAACTTTTTAGAAGGAAACGAAATTTCGATTTTATTCATATTTAGTTATTAAACTTTTTTCCGTTATCTATTAGTCACTATACTATTGAAACTGTTCACATTTTACCGTTATGACCGGTAACAGCCGGTCATAAGGGTAAAATGTGAACAATTTCAATAGTTCAATGACAAATAGATAACGAAACAAAATTTAATGGCTAAATATAAAAAAAGTCAAAAATTCGTTACGCTTTCAAATTATTATCCCAAATAAAAATCGAAAATGAATTTTCTAACTACCAAACATTACAAAACGGGAAAATGACTTATGAAGGTAAGTAACTATTTCGATTGTCCACATATAGGTAATATTCTTTTTTTTGTTCTTATTAATGGAACAAACTTGTTAGTTTTGTTCATATTAAGGTAATATAACTGGCTATTACCTGTTTTTGCTTATGTGGCAGCCATCTGGCACATGAGTTGAATACGTTGCACCTACATGGCTTTGTGCTTATATCATCTTCGTTTACAGTATTAGAAGTCATTCAATTACACCCGATTTTGAACCCTAGATCTACGATGGCTTCTTCTTCCTCATCTTATTCTTCAAAACGACCAGATGATTTTCAAGCTGATCATCCATGTGATTGCAACTTACCATCTCGTGTGAAGACTTCAAGAACCCCTGACAATCCTGGAAGAAAATTTAGAGTTTGTCAAAACTCGATGGTAAGCTGAATACGTTCCAACTTTCTTCTTCTCCATCTTGTTGAATACCCTTTCTTCTTTTTCATCCTTTAACCTAACATTTTTTTAATTTTTCTTCAAGAATGGAAAAAGTCCAAGCTGTAAATTCTGGCAATGGCTGGATGAGGATGAAGGGAGGATAGATGGAAGAAAGCCTTACTGGAGGAAACCAGAAGAAAGCTGTAATTTAACCTTGAAAATTTGCACTTTGGAGAATGAAATCAGCATATGTAGAATGAAGATCGAAGAAGAAAAGAACACCAATTTTGTTAATAGACAGGAATTGGACAAAGTCAAGTGGGAGTTGTTTACTCACAAATTGGCACTGATTTTGTTATTTGTATTGTATGTGAAAATGTGGATTTCATTGTAGTTCATGATGTATTAGGGTTAATGATGTAGTTTATGATTAAAACATGACTGGTATTAAAATGATGTACTTTATGTATGTTATGAATGGATGTTTTTGTTACATGTTTTTGCTTCTGAAGTTTTTGTTACATGTTTAGAATGAAAAGTAATTAAACACTGGAATGGAATGAAAAGTAATTAAACACTGGAATGGTATACATTGAAACATTGGAATGTAATATAATATAATCTAACATGGGAATGTAACATTGGATTCCAGGAAACATTGTTTACAAAACAGTGGAATTAAACACAGTTACAGATGCATTACTGCCAAAAGGTACACATATTACTAGACAAAAGATTCCCAGTCAATGATGCCAAAAAAACAACAAATTATCAAATTCTAATCCAATTCCATTGGTTTATCACAACTACTCCCCTCTTTTCCCTCCCACTTCTTTCTTATTTGGATTTTTGTGATTCTTTCTGAAGGTTTCCTTCTTCTCTTTCCCTGTAGAACCTGAAATGCTGGTACTTCCATCATATGCTCCTCTTCCACTGGATCTTGGACTGCAGCCTGTCCTTGGTCATCTTGTCCAACTGGATCTTGAATTACTTCAACTTCAACCTGTTCAACTTGATCTACATCTCCAGCCTGGTATTCACCTTCTTCAACTTCAACTTCAACAAGTGCTTCAACATGTTCTTCAAGTTCAACCTGTTCTTCAACCCCTCCAACTTCAACCTGTTCTTCAGCTTCAACCTCAAGTTGGTCTACATCTTCATATGTATGATTACCCTCTTCATAATCAACTTCATAAGACTCCACCTCACTATCAGGCTCCCTTTGAACTTCACTGTCACTATCACTTTCCAAATCAACTTCATAAGACTCCACCTCACTATCAGGCTCCCTTTGAACTTTACTATCACTATCACTTTCCAAATCAACTTCTTGATGCAATTCAACCTTCACTTTACCTGTTATGAAATAACTCAAATGTTAGAATTAGAAGCTGTTTTATTGTAATCAAAAGGTAAATGAGGAGAAATACCTTTTTTGTTGGCTTTTTTATTTTTTAACTTTGACTTTGGATTTGAGGATTCCCCAATTGGTTTTTGAGGACATTTTGCTTTATTATGCCCTGATTCTCTGCATATGCTGCATCTCATAACAATTCCCCTTTTTGAGACTGTATGCTTATTGCCCTTTAGTTCATTCTCAATCTGATCCCTTTTCCTTTTTGTTGATGGTCTTCCTGGCATTCTTCTCATTTTGGGAGGCAATGGCTTGATGTAATCCACATCAGGCCACATATCACTACCATTTAGTGGCTTAATGGTGTACAAGTAGGCATTACAAAACATTCTTGTGGTCAACCATGGTGATACATAGTCCTCTGGATCCCTATTGAGGTTTGAAATTGCAGCATATGCATGTACACAAGGGTAACCAGTTAATTGCCACCCTCTACATCCACATGTTTTCTTACCAAGGTCTACAGCATATGCATCTTGTAAAAGTCTCACTTCAAATTGTTGATAACCAGATGGTACAACTCTCCAAAATCTGTCCACATACACTTAAATGTAAGTATACAGAATTGAATGTCAAACATACACTTAAAAGTCTCACTTCAAATTGTTGTAAGTATACACAATTGAATATTCAATCACTAACCTTTGAAGTGTCTGAATCTTGGACAATTTCAGTCTGATGGTAGGACATATGTTTAAGTCTCCCCAAGAACTTCCCTTACTTTTTTGTATACACAGTCTCTCCATCACATAAATTCTAATTTCCTCTAACATAGTGATTAGAGGTCTCTTCCTGGCAGCTGCAATGATTGAGTTAAAACTCTCAGAAACACCATTTTCATATGCATCACATGCCCTATCAGTTTGAAAGAATGCTTTACTCCAAGTTTTAGGGTCCTTCTCCATTAGATGATCATATGCTAGTGGTTCTATCTTCTTGATTTCATTCATGTGTTGCTCAAATTTAGCCTGGGTAGTAGAAGCAGCAGCTCTCCAAAAAGTGTACTGAACTGTTGACCCTTGAATTTTTTCATGAAATTAGCACATATGTGTCTTGCACATTGTCTATGCTCTGCTGCAGGTACCCTTTCCTTGACAGCCTCAAGTAATCCCTGTCAGCATTACAAACAAAACATAAACTTCATATAAATTAAGTATTAAATAAAGAGACCATATAAAATCATTACTTTATGCTGGTCTGATATTAATGTCAACCCATGTCCATTTCCCATTCCAATGTCATCAAGGAGAAGGTCAACAAACCACTTCCATGTTTCCTTACTCTCAACTGCAACCACAGCCCAAGCAAGAGGGTAGATATGGTTGTTTGCATCCCTGCCTACTGCAGCAAGCAACTGACCTCTGCAAACACCTTTTAAGAAGCAGCCATCTAGTCCAATTACCCTTCTACAACCTTTAATCCATCCATCCTTCACACCTTTTAAACATACATAGAACTTTGAGAAGTAAGTGGCTCCATCAGGCATGGCATCTACATCCATCTTCACTGTTGATCCAGGGTTAGTCCTCCTTAGCTCTTCTCCATAGCTCCAAGTTTTAGCATAGTGTTCCTTTAAAGTACCCTCTATCTCCTTAAATGCATACCTCCTTGCATTTCTGCACTGTCCCACACTTGCAATCAAATTAAATGTCTTGCTAACTTTAGCCTTCAATTTCCTCACACTCATTTTTGGTTTCTGGAGAATCTGATTCATGAAATGATTACCTATCCATTTATAGGTAACAATGGACCCAAACTTGAAGACTCTTGAGCAATTGTGGTTATCAATTAAAGATTTAATCTGGAATGACCTTTCATTGCTCATCCAGGTTGCCCACAACCTAAAGGGACAACCTTTATTATTCTTGTTCTTCTTACCTTTACAACACTTCACCAGTAACCTGTTATGATCACTTTTTTCATACCACAAGTCATACCCATTCTTCACTGCATAATTGGTTAGACATAGCTTCAATTGCATTGGGTTGCAAACTTCATACCTAGAATTGGCATCATCTTATCCCATGCTTGGTTCTCATCATGGACAGGGAATACAACCTTCTCATCTTTTCCATCATTAGGTTCATCATCATCACTAAGCTTACCTGAAAGTTTGTTTAAAAAATCGTCACCAACAGTTTTGTTAAAGGTATGGACTTCTTCATCCTCTTCATGCTCATATGCCATAATACCATCCAAGTTATCATCTTCTTCACTATCATCCTCTTCTACATTCTCATCCTCTTCTTCACTATCATACCCATTACCATCTGATAACACCTCATTTTCAGCCCAATCAAGGATTGGATCATTTTGTTGGTCAATGTAGACATCCAACTCAGCTTCAGGAGTATAAGTAGCTTCAACAAACTCCCAATAATCAGCATCATTGTCGATTCTTATAATACCCTCACCTAAGGTTTCCTTTCTACTACAGTAGTACACATTATCACAACGTCCATTTGTTAAATTCCTAAGCCACAAAAGAAACTCTTTGTAGGAAAACCCTCCAAAATCGACATCACGCACTGTTATCTTTTCGAGGTCTAAGTATTTCAACGGATTTCGGGCAAATACTCCACTGTAATGAACATCTATAGTTAAATACATACCTGTAGGTGATTGGGACGCCATCTTACAGTCGACTTCAACACGTGATTATGATGAATTTGGTGAATCGAATCTAGGTGGATCGAATCTACAATCGGTGATTATGTTGAAATTGAACGTATAGAGCCCTAATTAAATGAGAGAGGGGAGTAATGGCCACGTAAGAATCCACGTAATTGAACGTATAGAACGTATAGGTGCAACGTATTCAACTCATGTGCCAGATGGCTGCCACATAAGCAAAAACAGGTAATAGCCGGTTATATTACCTTAATATGAACAAAACTAACAAGTTTGTTCCATTAATAAGAACAAAAAAAAGAATATTACCTATATGTGGACAATCGAAATAGTTACTTACCTTCATAAGTCATTTTCCCATTACAAAACTATGATAATCATTAATCTGATTTGCAACATGAATCAGTCATATTATTTGTTGGACGGATAATATTTAAATAAGGCGGGAAGGGAATACTTTAATAATTCCGATTGACTGATGCTTTGTCAGTGGTGTGTGTGTTCATATGCCAATCAACGACACGAAATCAATAAGAAGGATCGACATTTCACACACACGTATTCTCTCTCATCGCTCCATCTGTGAAGAATCTACTACAAAGAGAAGCGTGTGCTTCACCATCGCTTAAAGTCGGGATGTTCTATATATACGCGCTCGCACAAATTCCGAATTTCCCATTACCCACATTTGTGTTCTGTTACCCTAAAAAGCTGAAGAGAATCTTACAGAGAGTGGAAGGGTAATGGGAAATTACAGGGTATGCTGGTGTTTTACTAGGAAGTTCAAGATATCGGAAGCAGAGCCGCCGACTGATGTCAAAGAAGCATTCAAGAAGTACTCCGACGATGGGATCCGCATGACGGCAGATCAGCTCCGGCGGTTTTTGGAGGATTACCAGGGTGACAATGAACACGATTCTTCGATTTCTGAAGCTGAGCGTATAGTAGAGCAGATACTTCACAAGCGGCATCATCTTGCCAAGTTTATTAATAGGAAAGCTCTTTCTCTAGAGGATTTTCATCACTTCCTCTTCAGCGTCGACCTTAATCCACCAATTCGATCACAGGTATCTTCGATTTGGTTAACTGTTGATTATGTTATTTTGTTAGTAGGGATTTTAACAAGTCCATACACGTTTTGATTCGTGTGAGTACTAAGTTTGATCTAAAAAACCAGATCGGAACTTCGATTTTTAGCTTAAATCCATAACCAGTGTTGGCCTTTTCTGGGTCAATCAAGGGCGATTCATATGTTCTTGGCACTAATTTCATCCAACAATTCGCATTTTCTTGGCTGAAACTGTAGAGAAAGTAAACTCATAACACATTCCATCGTTTCTAACAAAAAACCATGGATTTCAATTTTAGGTTCACCAAGATATGACTGCTCCCTTATCCCATTACTTCATATACACCGGCCACAACTCTTACTTGACTGGGAACCAGTTAAGCAGCAAATGCAGTGAAGTTCCAATCATCAAAGCACTCAAACGAGGTGTAAGAGTCATAGAACTTGATCTATGGCCAAACTCATCAAAAAAGCATGTGCATGTTCTTCATGGAAGGACCCTGACGAGCCCTGTAGAACTCTTGAGGTGCTTGAAAGCAATCAAAGAGTATGCTTTCGTGGCTTCTCCCTATCCAGTCATCATAACACTCGAAGACCACCTTACACCTGATCTTCAAGCAAAAGTAGCTCAGGTGAATATTTTTCTATTCTGTGAAATGTAATCATCTAGTCACATTACCATGATGCTCATATTGTTCATATCCCTGTTTTCTGTTATTGCAGATGGTCACTGAAACATTTGGGCCAATGCTATATTTCCCTGAATCAGAAAAATTGGAAGAATTCCCAACACCTGAGAGCTTAAAGTATCGGATCTTGATCTCAACCAAACCCCCAAAAGAGTACCTTGAAGCTGAAGATGACAAACATGGTAGCTCAAGAAAGAGCCACGTTTCTTCTTCTTCTTCCTCTTCTGATGATGATGATTCTTGGAGCGAAGAGCCTTCAAGAAATGTATCATATGAAGAAAAATGTTTTAAGGTTTGGCCCACAATGATAACTGAGTCTTATTAATCAATTTTACCATGTGGGTGTTTGCTAAATGAATCTATATGTTTATATATTGCAGTCAGGAAGTGATAGGAGTGACCATGATGTTGACACTGAGGGAAAAATATCACCTTTATCTCCTATTTACAAGAGGCTAATTGCAATTCATGCTGGCAAACCAAAAGGTGGATTGAAGGATGCATTGAAAGTTGAAAAGGACAAAGTTAGGCGCCTAAGTTTGGCTGAACAAGCACTTGAAAAAGCTGTAGAAAATCATAGACATGATGTAGTAAGGTATAAATTATTTAGATAAAAAACTTATATTGCTAGTATCCAAATAGTATTCACCAGTTTACCATTGCTCCTCACTATTCTAAGCTTTATTGCATGTATCTGTTTTTTCTTTAGTTACACACACACACACACCACTGTTTATTTTTTTCATTATGGGCTGGTGTCTCATATGCAGGAGATATAGTGTGGTCTTGCATTTTAATTTTTTTTGCTTCTGATGCTGAAGGTCATCTATGGAAGCAGTCTCCCTACCCTCAGGTAGAGGCTGCCTATAACTCCCTCACCCCATTGTTATGGAACTTGGGTATTCCCTATTGCTGTTGTTGTTGTTGAGTGAGAAGGAATTTAAGAGAGAAAGTTTATAACAACTCATTCCAAACAGATATAAAGTGAAAAGTTTGATACAACGAATATTGGGATAGTCTATAACTTAGGGTTTAGGGTGTTACAGATTAATAATTAATACGAATTTTATGATCATATCTATACTAATTATATGTATTGTGAATATTTGGTTTCCAGGTTCAGCCAAAAGAATATTCTTAGGATTTATCCCAAAGGAACTCGTATAACCTCCACCAATTACAAGCCACTAATCGGTTGGCTACATGGAGCTCAAATGGTTGCATTTAATATGCAGGTTAGGACTTAGGACACAGTTTCTTAAAACAACAAATTCTTTGATATTATGTCCCTTACCATGTTATTATTAGCAACTAGTGTGTTAACTCTGATTTTTAATTCAGGGATATGGTAGATCACTGTGGTTAATGCATGGAATGTTTAGAGCTAATGGAGGTTGTGGATATGTGAAAAAACCAGATTTTTTAATGAGACAAGGGCCCACGAATGAGGTGTTTAATCGTAAAGCAAAGCTTCCACCCAAAACATCTTTAAAGGTTAAAATTAAGACCCTTTTAGCTAAACATACAAAACATGGAATAACTCTTCTCACATTGTGATTATGTTGATCAACAGGTGAAAATCTATATGGGAGATGGATGGCGTTTTGATTTTAAAAAAACTCATTTCGATAAATACTCCCCACCAGATTTCTACACCAGGGTAATTATCTTTACTCTCTTAACTTAACAATCAAAGCTTTACTATTAAAAAGATATGTTTAGATGAAATTGTAACTAAATATATGAAATGGTGGATTAATGAAACAGGTGGGTATAGCTGGAGCACCAGTTGATAAAAAAATGAAAAAGACAAAGATGAAGGAGGACAACTGGACACCTGTTTGGAATGAAGAGTTTACATTTCCATTATCAGTTCCTGAATTAGCTTTTGTTCGAATTGAAGTACATGATTACAACATGTCAGAAAAAGATGATTTTGCTGGCCAAATTTGTCTGCCTGTTTCTGAATTGAGGCCAGGTATTCGTGCAATTCCTCTTTGTAATCGTAAAGGAGATCAATACACATCTGCAAGGTTACTCGTGCGCTTCGAATTCATGTAAATTAGGTATCATATGTCTTGTTTTCTAGTGTATATTATGCACTTAGACTAGCTCATCATTCATTCTTAGAGTTGAGTTTGACTTGCTCTAAATTTTCTTGCAATGAGATTGTGTTGTTTGTTGTAGGAAAGAGTTGTAATCTTTTAGTTTTCAAATAAAACCTCTCTCTCTCTCTCTCTCTCTCTCTATATATATATATATATATATATATATATATATATATATATATATATTGTTGGAACTTGTCCCACATAGAAACATTGAGGAAACACCAAAGACCTTATAAGTCCTCATATTGGTTGATTGATGAATTGAATAAAGTATTGACTAAGGCATTTGGGCAATATCTATTGGGATGAGTTTAGATGTTATAAACCAACCAAGAAAATCATTTGCATACATTGCCATGGTATGGCTTCTCTAACAAGAGCAAAGAATCATATTTACAATGACAATTCAATACAAACAAGGCAAAGATATAACTCTATAAGTAAGACAATAAGATACTTGTTGAAAAATGGAAACATTCCCATCAATTACAAACACACAAGTATACTCACTCATATGACGTTTCTTTTAGATACTTTTTTGTTGTTGATATTTTAGGGGCGATATATTTGTTCTTAACAATGCTAATTGTTCTTATAGTGGAATACTACAAATTATTCTTGATTGGCCGATTTATGTTCCTACACTTAAATTGAATGTTGTGTCCTCTATCTGATTTGGAATCTTCATCAAGTGTTGATCATCATTCAAGTATGTATTTTGGATTGTAGTCAACATTGTATCTGTTGTTAATTTATGTAAATTCATGTTTTCAAGTACTATATCGTGTGTATTTTTCACTTTTATGTTGATTTACATATGTAACTCTTATTTGTTTGTTAATCATATGTGTATGAAATAAAAGGCTATTCATTTTTTTGCAATAATCTCACATAAATATGCGAGTGATGATGGAAAACATGTATCTTATGCAGAAGATATTCCTGGGATAGAAAGAGAAGCAAAATAATGGAATTTGGAATATTAGCTGGTAAGAATAATTCTCACTTTCACATGGGGCAATATTAATGAAGCTAGAATCTTTAAAGTTTTCATTTCCCCTTTTTGATACCCCATTCCTTTTCAATCATTGGAAGCAATCACTTTCACATCTTCTGTTCCACACACATATATATAATAATTCACCTCTCTTTCCATCTTCTGTAGATAATGCAATCTTTTGAGGTATTCGGTTGCTTCTTGAGGCATTTCAGGCCAAAAGGGGATGCACTTCCAGAAGATCTTAAACAAGTGATTTCAAACTACTCAGAAGATGGTATAATGAGTGTTCAAAATCTTCATGATTTCTTGACAGAATATCAAGAACAAACTGATGCTGATGCCCAAGCCATTTTCAACAGAGCAAAACATCACAATCTTCAACACAAAGGCCTGCATCTCTTGCAATATTTATACAGTGATCTCAACTATCCTCTTCAAGTAATTTTTCTGTAAATTTTACCCTTATAATAAACGAGTTCTGAAGCATGAAATCTCACAAGAACATATCTTTGATTCTTTCAGACGATTCTTGACGACATGAAATCTCCACTTTCTCATTATTATATTTACACAAGTCACAATACTTATTTAACTGGTAACCAGTTTACAAGTGACAGCAGTGTTAGACCTATCATAAGGGCCCTACAGAAAGGCGTAAGAGGTATTGAATTGGATCTTTGGCCAAATTCGACAAATACTGATGTAAATGTTTGTCATGGAAGGTATGAAGTTGATTATTTTGCTTCATGTTCGAAGGGTAATAATGTAATATCACTAACACGATTCTTCTTTCTGCAAAGGACTCTAACCTCATCTGTAAAACTGAGGAAATGTCTGAGAGTTATCAAGGATTACGCCTTCCATGCTTCCGAATATCCAGTTGTTATCACTTTTGAAGATCATCTCAACAAAAAACTACGCGATAAAGTGGCGCTTGTGTGTAAAAATAAAATCTTTCTGTTTGTGTTTATGTTTCTTGAATCTTGATCATTCTTCCTCATTACTGAAAGAAAACTTACAAAACTGTTGATTGTAGATGGTGAAAAGCACGTTTCAGGACATGCTGCTTCTGCCAGAGAAAGATCATAAATTGACCAAACTACCCTCACCTGAGGAACTAAAGAAGAAGATCATCATCTCAACAAAACCACCAAATGAGTCTTTGGAGCCAGAGACTGCAGATGATAAGAAAACGACTAATGTAATTTGATTTCTTGATTTATTAGTATTGTATAATTGGTGTAACATAAAACATATTCTTTTTGCAACAGAATATAAAATCCGGGACCATTTTTGACTGCTTGAAAAGCAAAGATTCAGATGAAGAAAGTAGGCATCCTGAGGAAGATCTACAGGGTGAAGTCCCTGAGTACAAGGACTTGATCTTTATCCATGCTGTAAAGCATAAAGGAAATTTGGTTGATTCTTTACATGTTGACCCAAATAAATACAAACGACTTAGCTTAAGTGAACAGGCCCTTGTAGAAGCTTGCCAAGAACACGGGCAACAAATCGTGAGGTACAAATACAATAAAAAAGTTTTGATTTTGAGGTGAAATCCAAATCTTTCTTGAATCATATAAACTGAAAAATGTGAAATGAGTGTTAAAGATCCTTCATTTATTATTCTTGATTGGTATTTGATATGGCTCTAGATTCACTGAGAGGAATATTCTGAGGGTGTACCCTAAAGGGACGCGCCTTGATTCGTCTAATTACAGTCCATTTCATGGTTGGAAGCATGGAGCTCAAATGGTTGCTTTCAACATGCAGGTATGCATGTATGCATGTATATATATATGTTTTCATGAGTTTTCCAGTATATATATATTTACAAACAGAATCTCCATTTTTTCAGGGATATGGAAAGAATCTATGGTTGATGCAAGGAATGTTCAGAGCCAATGGTGGGCGTGGGTATGTGAAGAAACCAAAGTTTTTATGTGATGGGGACCTGAGCTTTCGTCCCAATGAAGTTAAGAAAATTTTGAAGGTTAGTTTTCATTCACATGATCATATATTAATTAATTAAATAATCATCTCCCTTTATGTTGTTGAAAAGGTAAAAATTTACATGGGAGAAGGATGGCATTCGGAGTTTCATCATGCTCACTTCGATTACTGTTCTCCACCTGACTTCTATGCAAAAGTGAGTTATCTTGTTTATCTTACAATTCTTTGAAGATATGGTGATTTGAAAATGAAAATCATTGGTAGGTGGGAGTATATGGATATGAGGATGCAGATGATAATAAATCTCCAAGAATGCATAAAACCAAGACAATTGAGGATGATTGGTGGCCACTTTGGAATGAAGAGTTTGAATTTCCGATTAAGGTCCCGGAATTGGCATTGTTAAGAATTGTGGTTAAAGATAATGACACCACCAAGAAAAATGAGTTTGGAGGCCAAACTTGCTTACCTGTTTCAGAGTTGAGAACAGGCATACGTTGTGTCCCCTTGTATAACAAAAAAGGCGAAAAATACAGGTTCATAAAGCTTCTCATGCGTTTTGAACTTGTGATTCCCATAAGTTAGATTATTTCTTACATTCAATTGGATTCAAAGGATCTTTGGTTATAGATTCCGGGAATTTGAAATAATGTTTAAGATAGTTGATTATATCCATCCGTTTAAAGAGTCAAAGTAGGCTACTTGTACATGAATAAATGAACCAAGTTATCAAGCGTTTCTTAGTGGTAGTTGCATTTGTTTTATAAACTCTAACATGCTTTACCTTTGTCGTCCAAGAATCTATATATTATTTAAGATGTTTGGTGTGTTGTGGAGTTTTGAGAGACCTTTTTTGTGCTTCATTGAACATATTGTGATGTGGGGATGATTATCGTTTCCTTGTATATTCTTTGTTTATCTTTATGATAAATTGTGTGCATATATTTTTTAACATAAACATTTAATTTGTACTAGAATAGATATTTTGTCTCCAAGTTAAGATAATATCTATAAGACACATAAAAAGGAAATAACATGATATAAATGAGTGAAACGTCAAATTCTTGTTATGCAAAGTAGTACAACAAAAACACATTGTACCTTGTACATGAAGTTTTGTAGGGTGGGCATCTTAAAGTCGTTCGAGTCAATTCAAATCTAACATGGTTTACAAATCAAGAGGAATATGTCTACAGAAGGCTCTTAGAAGTTAACTTATACAGTTATATGTATCCATAAAGAAAACAATTAAGTGTGATAGTAATTAGTAAGTATTTTACAAATCAAATTAGCTTTCATGTGATGGTGAATAGTTCAAGTATTAGTTGATCAAGAATTTGCAACTCAAAACTGACACCAATCTCTTCGTAGTCTTCACCTTTCCATCTTTCTCTCTTCACCATACTCGAATCCATTATATCTCTTTCTGCTATTTTGCAAATTTCTTTCCACATTTTCCCAATCATAACATTATTCTTCTTTAATCCAATGCATATCTTACCTTTCCTGCTTGATTCAACACCTTCATCCGTTGAATTGCAGCTGCTTCTTGGAGATGGAGATGGTGCATTCTGATCAAGTTCCTCTCTCAATTTTCTCCTTGAATTCGGAATTTTGAACTTTAATTCTTCTTTTACTGCAAATTATTAATACCCAGATCATTAAAAATCACCAAAAGTGAACTTTACTACTAAAAACTATTATTTCAGGGATCTTACCTGAATGCGAAGATTCTTGATCTTCTTTGAATTCAAGAACAGAAACGGGGCTTGAATTTTCAGAGTCGGACTCAATTTCAACTTTCTCAAGGTTATTATTCTTTGATCTCTCTCTTTTAGCACACTCTGTATCACATGATTTCTTGGAATTCGGGTCGAAATCCAACAATTCACATGAGTACTTCATAACTTCTCCACCATTCACTGGACTTTGACAAATCGACATTTCTTGATTCTTCCTGTTCCTTGTTTTCTCCTGGAATTCAGGTAAACACTTACGAGTTTTTGGAGATTTTAACTTCAATTCCTTGTCTTTACCACCTCCTTCAAAGCTAAGAATGATGAACTTCTCGTTTTCAAGCTGTACAAAGCTCGGTGCTTCACGAACATAATCGCTTCTTTTCTGCAACCCCAATTTGCTCCATTGATTTATCGAATTCCCTATTGGGATCGAATCCAACCCCATAAGTTTTGCCACAATCCCAGGACTACCTTCAAGCTTATTAGCACAATAATGCTCATCGAGCTCATTATCTTCAAAGGATTCTTCGATGTGATGATCAAAAGGGAGTGCGGGAAGGCTGTGGAAGCAGAGCAGGCGGCGGAGGGCGGCGGGGATACAGCTGGTGGTGGGGAATTCGGAGGTGGAAGAAGATGATGAAGGAGAATGAAGGAATTTCATGGTGGTTAGATGATGATGATGAGTGGGAACAATGGGAATTTTGAGGTGGGTTGTCGTTAAGGATTTGAAATTTGTGAGCAGAAAGGGTAAAAGTAAAGGGAACAGGGTAAAGTGGTGGCGGGACATGGATTTGAGAAAAAAAGACACTGGAGGTGCTTCCCACGCGCGTCCAAGTGTCAATATTCTGCTGTTTTAGTTCCAGTCCCCCATCTAATCAACACTTATCACTTTGCAAAATTTATGTTTTAATTTTGAAAATTTTTCAATAAAATTTTAATATTTTAAGTTAGTTTATGGTTTAATCTTAAATTATATTTTGTTTATAAAAAAATAGGTTACCCATTAAAATTTTGAAATAATCTTTCTAGATTGATTTCACAGATTTAACCAATATCATTTTTTTTTATTAACTGGTCAAAATATTAAGATTTTTAATAAATAATTATGTTTTTTTAACGATAACCAAAATATTATGATTTTTTTGAAAATTACTCTTGAACATTATTATTAAAAAATCATCTATTCACATAACATATCCTTTTATTATAAACAAAAATATATAGTTGTTAATTTTTAGAAAAATAAAAAAAGTAGACTAAGTACCCTCCTCTCTCT